ATTATCTATGGATTTTCAAACTTGATATCATTATTGTTTTTTGATAGCACTATCACTAAAAGATTAAAATTATTCATTAATTCATTATTATAGTTAAGTTTGTTATTTAATAACGTTTTATTAAATTTTAAATATTTTTTTAAATATATATATATATCATAGTATATACACATACAGTTAAATATATATTTTGAAAATGTTCCGAACAAATACTGCTTCTCTTCTATCGCATTCGTTATGCCATAAACATGTACAAATAATTCATGTACGAACAAAAAAAACTCATTGGGTTAGTTGTTAGTATTAATTAATATTCAAACATTATTATTATTATTTATTACCAAATAGTTACTAAATGAATATGATTAATTTTTTGTTATAATTTCTCTGTATTACACTATCTATATTTCAGTCTTCAATCAAGAAGAGAATCCATCCAAAAGATAAGGCTTTAGAACACTTTGATGATTTTTACGGTTCAGTTTATGGAAAAAGATGGAGATCAATACGTTTAGCACTGTTGTCACCACACAAATATATAGCTGTTGTTAATAATTTTGGTGATCCCGAAACAGTTTCTCAACAGTTGGAGGTAATTATCTGTTATGGATAATTGTATTCAACCAAAAGTAATAGTGTTCTAATATATTGAATTTAACAATAAATATAAATATTTAGATAATACGTTGGGTGACAGTGTTTAGTACCTATAAAAAAAATTATAATCTCCTATCACTAATCATTATTAAGTACCAAATTTGCTTACAATACTAATTATATAGACTAGATAGTAAATTATTTTTAATAAAATACATACAAAGATATTTACTATTCTATTATTATAATTTTTATATATTTAAACCATATTTTCAGTGGTTTGGAGCGTTGAATGTAAGAAAAGTAGTTGAAGCACATTTGCTAAAAGCCAAAGAGTCTAYCAATGAAAAAAATATTCAAGAATTAGATAAAAAATTAAAAAAACTTTTACTTACTGATGAAAATAAAAAGGATACAAAAAAAGAAAAGTAAATATAAAAGAATTGCAATCGATAGAAATTTTTTTTTTATATATACTTAACATTTTAAAGTGTAGAATATGTGGAAAAAGCATCACTTCATGAAAGCTTATTAGAAGCAGAACATGACGAAAGTAGAATAATTGACCCTGAAGCAAATTCTAATATTGGAGGATTATATCAATTTATACCAGCTACTGAGTTACATGGCAAAAGTGACTGGGTTCTAGAATCCCAACATTACCAATACTATGAAGAAAATTCAGATTTCCCTATTAATATATTAAAGGAAGAAACTCCTCTAAACATTCCACCTCACTTACAAGTATTTACATTTGATAGAGGTGATTTTACTCCATTTCCACATCCTAAAACTGGAGTTTCTAAAACCAGTGGTAAGATATGTATAAAGTGATCTATTCACCAGGCTTTATTCAATTTTTTAACAATTATTGTAATGAGTTTATTTATATATCTTTTTTAAATGTAATATTTTAAATAGGCACTTCAATTCAAAATCAAAGCATAATTATTCATATTACAAAAATTAACTTAGACAATTAGTATAGTCTACTAGCCTGGATCACATTGTATATTATTTAATAAACTGATATAAATTGTATGAAATAAATAAATAAACACAGTATATCGGTATATCAATTACATGAAATGTATTTGATTTAATTTTAGGTTATTACTTAATGGACGGAGGTTCAATTTTACCTGTATTTGCATTAGATTTAAAACTTGGTGACAGAGTATTAGATATGTGTTCAGCTCCAGGTGGTAAAGCATTAGCAACACTACAAACATTATTACCKGGTTAGTTATTATTTATTTTAACTTACATTTATCATTAAGTTATACAACATAATTATTGTTGTTCAATTTGTAATAAAAAAAATAATTTTAATGAGTTCTTATTGTACTTTG